ATCTCAAGCTTTATTATTTGTCCCTTGCTGGGTTCGTTCGGCCTTCCTGTGTCCGTCCGTGTCTTTCCTCTCCTCCGCCCTCCGACTCTCTCCCCACGTTCCCGGCCTCGCCTCGTCTCGCCTCGTCTCGACCCGGTGGGTGCAACAAAGCTTTCTTGCTTTTTGCTCGTGGTCTCTGCTTTCAGCCAGACTCCGACCGTTGCACATTTCTTTTCCCCAATTCCTTCTATTTTTTGCTCTCTCCGTCTGCAGAGGCACGATATCTGCCGGATCGTGCAGACGAGTACCTGATTCCCTCCTCCGACTGGCCCTGCATCAAAAGAGTCGTCGTCGCATCATCCGTTGAATCCCACGACGCCGTCACTTCTCACTGGCGGCTGTCCGTCTCAAAGCCTCAACATCAGACTCCCTGCGCTGCACTGCGACGTCGTCGACACACACGGCAACAGCGGTTAAGCCTTCCGAGGCCAAGCTCAAAACCGACGCAACTGGTCTCTGGCCCCCAATTGGCCGTCGCCAGCCTACCGCCGCGCTGGTGTTGCTTTTTGCAGCGCCCTGTGTCCCCAGCACCAAGCACAGCAAGTGCCTTGAGAGGGCCGCATATTGATCGTCAATTTCCACCGGCTGCAAACATTGGACGCCTCTTAGATCCCGTCCTGCTAGCCCAGATCAGATCCGGTTGACCCTCGGACGCTTTTTTTATCGCCTTCATTCCCGCTGCCAGCTTGAAAACCTCCAGGCTTAAACAATTGCATCTTCTTCTGCGCGACTCGAAGCAACGGCTTCTTCCATCGCATACTTCATCCATACGTCGTCTCTCCAAACGAGAGCGAGCAAACGAGCTGCATCCCTCCTCTCAGAACCGTACGTGTATCCATCTTTTCTCCTCCGAACCCTCATCTCTTGCTCCGAGAGATCGTCGCCGTGCATTCTGCATTCTGCGCGTATTCTGCCCAGAACACTCAACGCCTGCATGGATAGCCTCGATCTCAAGGTCCTCCATCTCTGGGTCTAAAAATGGCCGGTGCAGATTTCAGACGGGGGAGCAGAAGGATGCCCCATGGAGCTGGTGCCGGCTTTTCCAAATTGGCGATGGGCGGCCATGGACGTGCACAAAATGCATACACGCGCATACAAGACATATTCAATGACATACACACATATTGCCCAAACACGCATGTCTTTTTTTATTCACTCCCACCCCATCCCATCATCCTTCCATCTTTCCGGTGTCGCGCTTGACTGCCTGTGTCCGGCGTGCGGCGCGGCGCAGTGGGAATGGCTCAAAGTGGCTCGACATTTTTTCGAGGCTGACCAAGCCAGAAGCAGTTCGCCCACTCCCAGCGGTCACCCTTGATCCAGATCGACGTCGGCCAGAACTCTAACACCAATAAGGGAATCTGTTCCTGAGTCTGAACACCAGAGCCCCGGCTCCTCCCCCAGCAGCACCCCTCCTCCGTCGACGGCAGGGTCACCTCAAGTCGGTCGACATCTTCTCAGAGTCTCTTCCCGACAGGCCAAGGTACAGGCCTCACACAGCCCAGGCCACCACCGGCGACAGGCGCCGCCCTAAGCCCACCCCCAGTGCCCTGTCCTGTCCGGTCCACTGGTCCAGTCCTCCTGTCTTGCTTTGCCCATCCATCTCAGTGGGAGGGCCAGCCCGGGTTGACTGATTGCTGGCTGCTTGCTGCTTGCCGCTGCTGCATCCCCCCTAGCGCATTCAGACCGTCGCCTACAGGGCCGCAGCTGTCCTGTCCCGACTCCAGCAGTTGTCCACCAGCTGGAATTGTTCCCCGCAAGTCGAACCAACCGGCCGTCCGTCTCTCTTTCATATTAAACCACTCCCGGCGAACCTCGACTGCCTAACTTCCGTCTTTTCTCTCCCCTTTGCCCTCCTTGCGTCTTCGACCTCAAAGCCACTCCCTAATCATCATCTATTCGTCGTCGACAAGGTCAGCAACCCGACTGCGTCATCCTCCGCCTCTCCGATACCCCGGTCACGACCGCCGTCGCACGTCTTGACTACTGATCGCCCGCGAGCGTCGCATCGCTGTCGACCCGACTCGACTCAGCAGCACTTCGACCCCTCCAGCAGAACCCCACTGGACCGCCAATTCATCGATTTGCCATCCCCCTAAACCGCCAAAATGGGCCTGTTTTCGAGAAAGGAAAAGGCCCCCAAAGGCTCCAAGCCCTCTATCAATACCTCGAGTGTTAGCATCAACTCGGGCGCCTCCAGCATCAAGTCACCACCGCCCCGCAGCATTACTATGAACAGAACTTCCGCTGGCAGCACCACTCCCGGCACCCCATTGACGCCGTTTTCACCACTCCCGATACCAAAGGTTGACCTGCCGCGCCCACCCGACCCCCAGCTGGACCCTGCGGGCTACCTGAGAAGTCTGGGAGCCGTCAGAGAGAGGAGCAAGATTGTCACCGAAAAGGCATTGCGTAATGAGCTGAAGCATTTTGACGTGGACATGCGCAAGTTCGCCGACGTTGTGTCGTTTGTCTCTCAGATCATCAAGGTAGGGTTCGACCAAGTCCTCCTTCAACCTTGCCGCAGCTCGCTCTGCTCGCGTGATCGAGCGGCTCGCCGGCTGCAACACCCGTCCCCTGTAATCTTCGCCGAATGGTAGTGTACTGACCTGATGATCCACCACAGAGAGATTACGATGCACCATTCAACACGATTCCCGGCCACGGACGACACCAGCATTTCTGCGTCGGAGGCCGAGACCGAATTGCACAGCTCCTTTCCACCTTCCCCGAGGACGTTGACAATAGCGAAAAATGCCGCCGCATGATCGACCTCTTCTTGGTCAGTGTACTGCTGGATGCCGGTGCGGGTACCAAGTGGAGCTACAAGAGCACGGAAAATGGCCGCATTTACCGCAGGTCAGAAGGCATTGCCGTGGCAAGCTTGGAGATGTTCAAGACGGTGCGTTTTCCAGTGTATGCGTGATTTCTACGGCTGCTGATGGTGGTACAGGGTGCCTTCTCCAGCGATCCCAAAAACAAGTTCCAGGTCGACAAGGACGCCCTGCGCAACTTAACGGTAGAAAAGGTGGCCGCTGGGCTGCAGTCTAAGCCAGGCAATGAAATGGCGGGCGTCGAGGGCCGGACAAATCTTCTCGTGAGGCTAGCAACCGCTCTGACTGAGAAGCGAGAGTACTTTGGAGACAATGGCCGGCCAGGTAACATGGTTGGTATGTTACAGCCCGGCATTGAAGACACTCCGCTCTGGCCACAGCTAACGCGTCTCAGACTACTTGCTGGCACACCCCTCAACGCAAGCGTCGTCTACGCCAATCGTCATCATTCCCACTCTGTGGAACGTCCTCATGAACGGCCTGGCACCAATCTGGCCCCAGTCGCGGACCGCTATCAACGGCGTGTCTCTCGGCGATGCCTGGCCCTGCCACTCCATGCCGCAACCACCGCAAAGCCCGACGACTTCACAGTTTTCACCGTTCCCCCCTTCTGCCCAGAACTCGACGGCAGCGTGGGAGTCGATTCTTCCGTTTCACAAGCTCACGCAATGGCTCTGCTACAGCCTGATGCAACCGATGCAGACCTTGCTCCGCATACAGTTCGCAGGCGTTGAGCTACTGACCGGTCTTCCTGAATACCGCAACGGCGGTCTCTTTATTGACCTCGGTGTTCTTACGTTGAAGGCCGACGATACGGAGAGGGGCCTCCAGCACTACGACGAGTACTGCCGCAGGACAAATGTCAAGCCTGTAGAGGTTGCGCCTATGTTCGAGCCGAGCGACGACGTTATTGTGGAGTGGCGCGGCATCACAGTGGGTTTTTTGGACAGGCTCTGTGTAGAGGTCAACAAGCACCTTAGGAACGAGCTCAATGGCCACGAGCTTACGCTCGCCCAACTGCTCGAGGCAGGCAGCTGGAAGGTAAGCCAACAACCGCATCGACGGCATACATGGCAAAGACTAATACGTTACAGGGCGGCCGCGAAATGGCCGAGTTCAGCCGACCGAACACGAAGGAACCGCCAATCCTGATCGATAGCGACGGAACTGTTTTCTAATCGGAACCCTGCTGTATTTTTTTTCGGGGAGGACGCATTGTATCGGACACTATACCTCTGTTTGCGCCGTTGGTTAGACGAAAAACACTTTGGGCATTGAATCCGGGGACGGGGCATGGCAGTGGATGAAAGGCACTTTTGGATGACGGGGTTTGGATGGCGGCTTACTTCGCCTTAATGAACATGACTTGGGCCAACAATGGCGAGGAGGATTAATGGAACGCGAAAAGGTTGAGGCTCCGAACCTCCTCTATTCACCTACACGAACTTCACGACTGTGACAGAGCTTATGTGTTTTCGGCTGCTTTGCATCTGTGATGCGCCCACGGACGGCCCGGTTCGGCCCCGCGTCGGTGGGGTGGACCCCGCGTGTCCGGATTTCGCTCACGTGCTTCCTTCGCAGTTCTGCGTGCCTCCAGAAACGGCCTTGCGACGTCAGATTCCCACCCGGACTTGCTGAGCTCTATCAACGAGGCAGCACGCATCGCGTCGATAACCCCTGCTTGTTCATCCTTGCCGCCACGCGAGCTGGAATCTTTTGTTAACCCAGGATCGGAGACGACTCCGTTCGTCTTTCTTATCGATAAGCGCCCTCGAAAATTCCGACCCCGCGACCTTGTGAAGATGCTTGAACTTCCTTCCGGTTCTTACTGCTGGAGCTGCGAAGCGGAAAAAAAATCCTGTGGAAACTCGATTCATTTGTCCTTAGAAGCAACACTCAGCCCAGACGGGTTTTGATCTCACGAGCGGACACGTTGACTCTTGACCAAAGACCTCGCCCCTCCGCCAATTTTTGGGGCTCCGTGCTGGACAACGTCGAACCGGCTCAGGCGGACGTCTCACCACATCCCGTCTTCGTCGAAGTCCACCACACACACAACCAGCTCTCAGCACTCACAATCAATTCTTTGGAACACACGGGGACGGGGCAAACGTGAAGCTACCAAAAATGGCTATCCTGCCATCCTCCGCGCCGGACCCGGCCCTCCCCCTGCTCACGCAATGCACGCACATCCTCGCCAACATCACCACCCTCCTCAGCGAGCTCGACGCGCTCAAGGACGCGCTCACACACCGCCCGTCCCCGACGACGACGACCAAGCCGCTGGCGTGGAACCAAGCTGTCCCCGGCCTGGGCCCGTTTGAGCGGCTCGTTGTGTCGGAGAAGAAGCACCTCGAGAGGATGGTGGCCGCCTACACCCCGGAACTCGGGGGAGAGGAGTTGGAGGCGCTGGATCGGAAGACGCGGTTGAGGCTGGATGCGAGTAATTACAAGTTTTATGAGAGCGTGTGGGAGGTGGCGAAGAGGTGTTGTGATTTGGCGGGGATGAGGAGGGAGCTGGCGGTGAAGAAGGATGGGAAGAAAGGAAAGGGGAAGGGCGTCGGCGCGGTGGTGGATTTGGTGGTTAAGGGAGGGACGGAATGGGTTAAGGTTGTGACTACGACGGAGAGGAGGCTGTTTTATGAGATGGCGGATGCGGGGTGGGACTGGGATGAGGAGGAGCAGGAGGAGATGCTGGAGGTGTTGAAGGAGGAGGGCGAGGGGAGCGTGGAAGTCGCGCGGGTGGCGCGGTGCATGATCGCTGCGGCACGGGGGAGCTTTGAAGGGTACCGCCGGCCGCGGTGCGTGATCCTCATGAGCCGGATCGAGGAGGGCCGGAACGCGCACGTGGATCGGCTGCTGTCTCTTGTGCGCCGGCTCGGGGAGGGGACCGGGGTGGAGCTGGTCGTTGAGACGGCGAACGCGGGGATCCTGGCGTGGCCGGCGCCAAGTTTGGGGGAGGCCATCCGGAATTTGGTGCAGGCGGACCCGTTTGAGGGCTTCACGGACACGCTGAACGTGGACTGCTCCGCCTTCATGGCGCTGGCGAGCGACTGCAGCCATTGGAGGATCGGGCCCGAGAGTCCGCTGTTGCGGGGCGCGCAGCACCGGCTCGACGCGGCGGATGAGGTGGAGAACGGGCCGCGGCTGGTGACGACGATGTATCCCGCCCTTGGGGCGCGGCGGCTGGTCACGACGAGGGAGGCGGCGGATACGTTTTTGCGGATTTTGGGGGAGATTGGGACGGAGACGGAGAAGGCGCGGACGAGGATTTTATTCGAGCCGTTGGGGGAGGGTGAAGGCAGCAGGGAGAGGGTGAGGAAGTTGCAGACGCTGTCGGAGCATCCCGTCCCCGAAGATCTGCAGCTGCCTGTTGAGGTCGTGCCGGGTGTGAGCTGGGAGGAGGCGCGGGGGCTGGTGGAGGAGGGGGCGCTGCCGAGGATCGCGCTGGCGGTGGGGAGGAAGGGCAGCGGGCTGGATGCGATGGGGGTGAGTTCGTTTCTGTATGGGTGGAGGGAGGGGATCACGACGGTGACGGGGAATTGGGAGGCTGTGAAGAGGTTGAGGGCTGCGATCGAGGCTGGGTTTGCGGAGGCGGGTGGGGAGGAGGGGGATGGTGTTGGTGACGGGCCGAGGGTGTGGAGGATCCCGTTTTCGAGAAAGTTGTTGGCGAAGCCAAGGCCAAGGGATATTGATGCTGGTGAGGAGGATGGCGGGGGGAGGAAGTTGAAGACGAGGGTTGAGAAGAAGGTTGAGAAGGAGAGGAGTTTGGAGAGTTGGATTGGGGAGGTGAGGTTGGAGGAGTGAGGTGTGAAGGGAATGATACCCCGTGTTTTCTACGATTTGGAAGTCACAGGTTGTGATACTTGAGACAACACGATATGTGACTTGCTCTTTAGATGTTTCGCTCCTTGACCAGTGCTACTTGGACTGAAGTCTATTCTTCCACCCCCGCAAAGCTTTCTCAATCACAACACCGCAATCCGGATACTTAATCCTCACCTCCGTCGTAAACACCTCCGCCTCCGTCTCATTCCTACGCCCCAGCAACGTCTCCTCGCAATGCAGCGTATGATGATACCCCCAGATATAGCTATCCACCCTCCCCAGCCCGCCGCCGCCCTGCATCAGCGCGCGGTGCATCCGCCGCCACATGGCCGTGCAGTGCCGCAGGTGGTACGCCAGGCTCACGTAAACGCCAGTGTACTCCCCCGTCATGATCTGGTCTCGTGTGAGGGGCGCGGTGCGGTTTTTGTCGCGGTACCAGACCAGCTCGCCGGCGGCGCGCAGCTCGGCCTCGAAGGTGGCGGCGAGGGCGGCGTCGTGGCAGGCGGGCGGGAGCCAGTTGAAGGAGATGAGGTCGAAGAGGCAGCCGGCGGCGCGCGCGGCGGAGGGGGTCGCGCCGCAGGGGAAGGGGAGGAGGTAGGTTGTGTTGAGGTCCGAGGGGGAGGGGGAGGCGAGGGTGTTGGCGTTGCGGGTGGAGGGAGTTGATGGGGAAGGGGAGAGGAGTGTTTGGAGGGCGAGGGTGGAGGAGATGCCGAGGAGGAGGGAGGTGGTGATTGTTAGGAGGAGGATGGGGAGGGAGAGGGTGTATAGACGATGAGGTTTGGAAGGTGATGGATTGTTTCGGTGGTTCAAGAGTGAGGTCGAGGGTTCGTCGGTATCTCGTGGGGAGAGGTCGGAGTTGAGATCAAGGTCTTCATTGTCGGAGTCTTGGGATGTTGAAGTGCCCTTTTCGTGAATCTCTAGCTGTGAATAACGTTCTTCGTGCGCCATTGTTGCTGTTACATGAAATGTTGATGGCTGCTCGCGAATTTACACAAGAGGCATGGAAGAAGTGATGGTCGGGATGACGTTGAAGCTGAAGTAAGCTATTAGAAGACCGAAGGATTCGACTCCACTGCCAGTCGATCAATGAAAGGCGTGATCTTGGTGAGATCCCAACGACCTTCCTTTCTTGTCGATAGCTACAAAACCCGAAATCCTTCGACGCAAACTGCCAGCGCCTGCTAACAGTGAGGTGCCGCTAAACAACAGGATGGTATGATGGCTAACGGGGACAGGTGCTCTTTTTTTCGTCAAGTTGATTGAAAGTCTCTACTGCTGCCACTACTGATACACTATAGTTATACACTTTGCACTCATTCGACACTGGTCCACGAAGCAGACTGGACATATGATGTACAAGCGAACTCCGTCGCGATATCCTACGATTCTCAGTGCTGGAAGCAGTCCGGTTTATACGGGCTTTGACGAGGCCAGGCCCCCAGCATCATGAAAATTTAACCTCACAACCCCGGATGATTCGGCACCAGCCATGGATCTGTCGATGCACAGTGCTCTTCACAAGGGATTGGTTGACCCCGAAGAAACAGAGTCACTGATAAACTTCGAATGCGCGACTGGAAATTGCACGTTTGGTGATTTCGACCACGGCGAATATTTCTCCTCCTTAGCTAGTTGCTACTCTTGCAGCAATATCACGGATCAAGTTGTTCCTCACGCACTCGATGTTTACACGCTCCCGTCCGGGATTTCGGTGGGAGGGCTTAATTCGGGCATCAGGGAGATGCTTTCTGTGATGGAGATTAACTCTGATTACATGGCAACAACCACGTTTTTTTTTTTAAATTTAAAACATTGATGGTTAGGGATCCCCATCGCAGCCCCCGTTGCGGAAAGCAGTCATATGTCGAGCCGCTCGCTGTTCGGTGCAAGCTGACTCCATGCGTGGAGAAATACCGTGCCGAAGTGCGGAAAGGCAAATACCGCGAAATAAAGAGCAAGACGCCAGGAGAAAATCTCAGAGAATGTCCGATCTCACAAGAACGGCGCGGACCGCAGGTGGCATTTGCTCTCGTTGCCGGCTCCAGCCTGGTTGATGGCATTGAACGACCTTGCAATCCCATCCCTGGAAGGACCCGCTACTCAGTCATTTTGGACCCTAATTTGAACGCGATCTATAACTTAGCAGATGGAGTATCTGAGAGCGATAAACCTGAGTGGAAGTTCTATCCCCAGGGGTGCGTCTGGACGCTCGACATGAACTGCTGGATAGGGATCAAGCAAGTGCTCGGGACCTTATTAGGGAACAAAAAGTCGCTTACATATGGAGACGGTCCGCTTTGGTTGAAAGCGATGTACAATGATGGGAATGGAACCCTGTCTACGGTTGAAGAGGTTGTCCGTGGTCTGACAAACACAATGAGCGCTGCGATACGGGACTACCATCGACTAATCAATATGACAACAAGGAGGAAAAGGGTAAGAAGTACGTTATCCTTATTACGATGAAACACGCCAGCGGGACCGCAGAAATCATGCAGACGTGCATCTATGTGAAATGGGGCTGGATTGCATATCCTGCTGCGTTACTGATCCTGCAAGCGATCTTTGCTGTGGTCGTGTTGGCTGGTCCACGAATGACACTGTCCCACCATGGAACGAGGTGTCCAACATGGAAATCTTCACCCCTAGCCCTTTTTTTTCACGGCCTTGAGGACGAGGTCCGTCGGGAATGCACGGATTTGAGAACTGTCAACCAAATGGACAGGGCTGCGCAGAGAATCAAGGTACACTTCAGATGGAAAAGGATCAATGGCGGTTTTATGCAAGCTAATTGGGAATAGGTAGTGGAGGAGGGCGAGGAAGAAACCACGTAGTCACAATACATTGACAAAATCAGCACAAGTCAACTTAGTATCGACATTAGCTTTACGTCATTGGATAGTTACTAGAAATGATAAGAGACCCTCAATCAAATTATCTTAGGCCCCCCCACCCCTCACCTTCTCAAAATGGTGAGCAGGCTGAGGCTCGGCGAGCACCAATTGTCTACAGGAGCTCCGGCCTGGTCGCTATTCAATATGGGGGCTATAAGAGAGCCTAGTAGCGTAAAAATGCTTGCAGTGAAATATCTTACAGAATGGTGAGACGTTTGCGTTCATTACCTGACCCAGAAAATCTCCGGGAAGAGCTGATACCATAGAATAGGTCTATCATGCCGACCCGGCGGTACGTAGACCTCTTTGAATCTAACGGCTCAAGGAGTAGTCCGGAAGTTGAAGTACCCAAATGTGGGGACCACTCCGGCATGTTATCTGTTTGTAATATCAGACACTCGATATTACTCTCGGCTATTACTTGGAAGTCGTTTCGGTCTTCGGTTTCACGGTCCCAGTAAAATACTGTTGAGGTGGGCCTTTCGAACGATCTCAAAGCTACGTCCCCGCTGCTAGTGTCGATGGCCGAACTTGGCCCGCATATCTCAAGTTTCCCATATTCGACATTGCCGAATGGATCGAGAGCGCTTGAAGGCAGGTAGTTCACAGCAATCACTGAATAGTGAAATTGCTGACCCTGGCTCCTCTTGAAATCTACTCCGCTACCGACTGAGGCCCAAGACCAAGATGGAGTGTACCACGGCAACTCAGTAGACTGCTCAAGCTCAGATATCGGATCAGATCTGCCATGCGTGACGGAAGCACCCCCCACAGAGCCTTGTTCTATCCTGTACCACGCCAGACTAGAAAGCAGCTCGTTGTCCCACACCCCGGCCACATATCTCGAAGTCGGAACTCTTGTCTGATAAGCTCGTGCTAGGCCTGATAGAGCAGGGAGTCGGTCAAGCTCCTTGGTGATCATTAGTTTGGAGTAAACTTGGACAAGATCTAGCCAGTTGTGACTAAGGAAATCGAAAAGACTGGATGTGGGCGTCTGTAAGTTGAGAGGAGCATCGTCTTGGGAAACAGTATCCATGTGTGATACAGCAGCCGTTCCATCTTCGGAGAGGCTGCTCTCTCTGCATTTCCAGGCCAACTTCCGTGCTGAGAACGAAAGAACGCGTGGTGCTAGGATGCGTTCTTGTAGCGCCCAGGCCCTCCTGTTGAGGCGAGCTAGGCATCTTCCTGTCCAGTCTGACGCGTTCGGGTATATCTCACATGCGTAGCAATGATCGTCCTGTAAGAAGCTGTCAGGCACAATAATCCACCTAAATGGTTGACCTGTACTAGTCAAACCACCCCACGAAAGACAGGAGTTGAGAGAGGCGCAGTCCCCTGCTTGACCGTCCAAAATGCTGCTGCAGCAATCCGCATTTGCAGTGGCCGCGACAGTAAGAAATGAATTGCCGTATACATCTACCATGCGACACGCTTCATGCCCCCAGTCTCCCAGATCGTCCTGTACAATGCATATAGAATCAATCCATACGTATTTGACCCCATATCTCCAAGCCAGGCGTATTGTGTCTTGGTACAATGGCGGTATTATGTCCCAGGGAATGCACCTCAAATGGTTCTGAAGATTGCTCTTAGTTGTGATTAGAGGTTTTTGTGAACCCCAGCAGTGACTCAGACAGATGTAACGATCTCGAGAAGTCCTAGCCTCTACGAGACGGATGTCTCTTGGCTCTCTTCCAACGCTAATGACACGAGTTGGGAGTGGAGGTAAATTGTGATCAGACGGAATGCAATTATGGTGATGGAAACAGTTGACCATTTGACTATCGGCGAATTCCAGCGAGAGATAAGGGTAAGGTTTCATGATATCCCAGGGGCAAGACGTGGCTGCAGGCAGAAATCAGATTGTTAGCAGCGGGATATTTACGCTTGCTCTTACGGCGACGTACCCGGGTGCGTGTATATTTTGAAGGACATTGACTCGTTTTGCATGTCCTCTCGTTGTGACATGCAAAAAGCCCACAATGAAAAGAAGTTCGATCGTACTTCGTAAGTTGCTCCGAAACTACCGGCCTTCGCAAGAAATTCTTGGCCAATTACTCTCGGAACCAGCTTGGATATATTGGTGCAAAAGTCGCAACACGCTGTGTTTTCAACGCGGGGATCCAAGCCACCCGAACCACTCACAAAATGCGTTGCTTCAGAAGGGATTCCCCATTTGCTACATCTTGTGGGTAGTCTCATGTCTGAAAACCGCATTGAAAAAAGGTGCTGAAGGTTTGAGGTAATAGGTATGGTATTGTGATTGACTGCTTCACGACCCAGGTGAGCTGTCCGTTGACAACCTGTTGTCAGCTTGAGATGAAGAGGAGGAAGAAACGTGCTGGTACGTAACAACCACTGTCAAATATGGATGGGACCATTGAGAGCTCCAGTACGCCCCTCAGGCAGACTTGCAGGCTGAGTGAGTGGGTTGGTTGATGTGTGCTTTGCATAGATCCGACCTATCGAAATGCGTCTTTTTGTTTTCGTTACGAGCGTCATATGTCAACATTCAAACGACGGCAAGCAAAGACATCACATTTTCTATGGTTGAACATGTCTAAAACATACGAATATAGAATGTGCGACAACCCTAGCTCTGTATAGTGAATTTAGCTATTGACTTGGGATTTTACTACAAACGCCATTCCGGATCCATTGACGTGTGCTGCTGCTTGCGCTACCGGATATATCAACAACCAGGGTACAAAAGAAGTAAGCCAGACCCAAGGACAGGCCAGTTGTCCCGCAGCTTGATTCCACACGCAAAGTCCCGACTCAGTGAAAAATGGCCGCCTCGTCTGCACAGCGGCCGAAATTCTACCCCCACTCCCCGATGTCTATTCCGAGCATCATGAATCGCCGCCTGCGGCCTCCGATCCGGAGTCACCGTCGGAAAGCCTCTGCCTAGCTTATCATTCCCCGGTCAGCCCTCGCACCCTTCACTACTCACTCGAAGCCGCCACTACGACCACAAATACACACACAGGCACCCAAATGATGGCCCTTCAAGTACTCCTCATCATCAGCTCGACCCGTTCCCGCCCCAGAAAA